AAAATGTTTTAAAACAATGAAAGGATCACAATAATGGAGCACAGGTCCAGACCTACTTACGCAGTAACAGCCTGGTTAAGCCATAAAAATTAAGAGTTATTTTGGTAACTTGAGGGGACTGGCTTAGAACATTGGACAATGTCTGAAGATATTTCTGATTCTCACAACTGAGAACTGCCATTGACATCTAGTGGGTAGAGGCCAGGAATACTGCTGAACATCCTATAATGCACAAGCCAGACCCCCACAGCAAAGAATTAGATAGTCAAAATGTAAATGGTGCTGAGCTTCAGAAACGCTGGACCAGATTATGAATTTCCCTTCACACTAAAAGACTATGATAAAGCAGCATCAACACTAAACAAGTGACATTCTTGTCAATATCCATCTATGAATGACCCTTTATGAGAGTACTCAAAATCTCCCTAAAGCCAGATATTGGCTATTACTCAATAGCCAATCAATACTTTACTCTGATACAGTATTTGCAGTCAAATGCTCCACCACTGAGTTATACCCCTGCTGATATAGTATCTGTATATCTACTGTTAATGCTCTATTTCTTTTTTTCTTTTTGGCTTTTGAGACGGGGGTCTCACTATGTAATTCAGGCTGATCTTGAGCTCACCAAGTAGACAAGGCTGGCATTAAACTCATAGTGATCCTGCATGTGTGATCCTTAGCCTCCTGAATGCTAGGATTATGGGAGTGCACCAACACATCTGACTTGATGTTGTATTTCTAAGGGTAGTGACAGTCCTCCCTTTATACCAATTAGAGAACCAGGGATCAAAGAGGTTCTAGCCTCCAGGGACTTGGTCCCACAGGTTACGATTAGAATCAGTGCTATCCAAAACCATACCAGTCCTTTTAGGTGAGAAGATGATTTAAATGAACAAGGTCAGAAAAAGATACAATGCACACCACAGTAGAAATTAATCTCAAGACCTGGTGAGATAGCTCAGCAGTCTAAATGCCTGCCTGGCAAGCACAAGGACCTGGGTTGGATCCCCAGTACCACATGACATGCTGGACCCAGAACCCCAGGCATGCCATGCCATCCACCAAAAGCCAGCATGGTGGTGCACACCTACAATCCCAGTGCTAGGGAGGCTGAGACAGGAGAATCACAAGTCTGTGCTGCATTAGTGAGACCATGTACCAAATAAATAAATGAATAATTTTTTTTTAAAAATGTAAAAAAGAATTTCAAATATAGCACACTAGTTGAAAGAGTCCTAACTTAAACAGCTACATACTATGAGTTCGTTTACATGACATTTTCTGGAAAACACAAAACTGGAAGAAATAAAACAACTGTGGAGTCAGGAAACATCAGAAATTATAAAGGAGGACAAAGGGTGGGAAGGAAATTACAAAGAAGGATAAAATAATTTTGGGGATAATGGACTGATATTGTACAATATATAGATGTTGCAGTACCCGTAACATACCTCTGTCAAAACTCATAGAACTATATACTGTTCAATTAAAGATTAATTTTACAACATCTAAATTATACTTCAAACAATATTGACTCCTCTTACCAAATGCAACTGCAAATCCTCTAGAAAAGATAAATAGATAACATCTATACACTTTCATTTCCAAATTCTACAATTTTATGACATGCCACCTGTCCTACCCCTGGTGACCTCAGAGCCACACCAATTAGGGTTGATTGTGGGCCTTGCTTTTTATATTAAAGCAATGAAGCTCACTCACTGAACCATTTGGTGTTGAGTCTTGACATACTGGACCCTTTGGCCCTATCCTAGCATGTGGCAGAGGCTCCCTTCCGTCACCTATCCTCACTTCTCTTGAAACTGATGAGAGGCTCAAATAATAAATAAGACAGAATTGGGGCTGGGGAGATGGCTCAATAGAATAAGCTCTTGCCTGGAAAGCACAAGGGCCTGAGTTCAATCCCCGGTTCCGCAAAAATAAATAAATAAATAAATAAGACAGAATAAGTCTCAGGAGACACTAGTTTTGTCTCTTTGTACAGGCTTCCTATCTGATCCCACTTGAACTTTTCATTAACTTTCAAATCAGGCAGTAAAAAAATCATATCTATGAATTCTCCTCCTCTACTGTCTTTTGGGTCTCCACTAGATTACTTACACAATTAAACTACATAAATGTAAAACATAAGCCACACAAGAAACTCATACACATTGATAGTAACACGGATGTTTTAACACATACACATCCCCTCCAAAATTATTGTTTTATCAAACGTCACATAAAACAAGCCAGGAGATCTGAAACAGCTATCAGAATGCTCATACTTTCTACTAATAGAAAGACCAAGCCAGGCATGGTGGCTCACACCTGCAATCCCAGCACTTGAGAGACTGAGGTAGAAGGATCATTGCCAATTGGGCTACCAGCCTGGGCTACAAAGTGAGATCAAGGCCAGTCTCAATTGCATAGTGAGACCATGTCTCAAAAAGATAATAATAATAATAATAATAATAGAAGAAAAAGAAAGACCACTCACTCCCTCTAATATCAAAAATGCAGTCACAATGGTGTCCTGGTGTAGGAGCTCCATCACTTCTCACTGAGTCAGTTCCTTTTTTTTAAAATAAAGGTTGTTCATAAACAGACTCTATCTCCTTCCGCCCCCATTACAGGGATCGAAGTTGGGACCTTGCACTTGCCAGTCAGGCACTTACGCCACTGAGCTATCTCCTTTTGAAAGTCAGTTCTTGGGGCCAGGGAGATGGCTCAGTAGAATAAGTGTTTCCCTGGCAAGCACAAGGGCCTGAGTTCAATCCCTGGTTCTGCCAAGAAGAAGAAGAAGAAAAGAAGAAGAAGAAAAGAAGAAAAGAAGAAGCAACAGCAGCAGCAGCAGCAGCAGCTCCACAAAGGCTAAAGTACTTGGCAAAAAACAGATGCTCGATTTTTATTGAAAGGTATTTTTCACAGAGTACCCCAGTGGCTACTGGAGTGAACACTATCATCTTTGACCATAAAATTGAAGGTTAGACTAACTGGCTGTAATGGGGTCTGTCTTAGTTACTCTTCTCTCGTTGCTGGGACAAATACCAGACACTCAAAATGAAGGAAGGAAAGGTTTATTTAGCCTACAGTTACTGAGGTTTCAGTCTATACTCAGCTGGCTCCAAGGCAGAGCAGTACACGGCAGAGGGCAACCTTTCATGGCTTTCATGGCAGCGGCAAAGAGCAAGAGCGCAAAAGGAGAGCAGCAGCTCAAGCAGCTAGCCTCTCTTCCCACCTTAATTATAATGCAAATCACCTGCCCCAGGGCAGGTGCAGCATCCACACCCACAGTAATCACAAACTCCAGAAGCTGCCCCATGACTACATGAGGCTTTGGGGGGACAATCAAACACAAACCATAACAGGGTCTAAGAGCAAGGTTTATGATAATGCACAAACCAAGAAGATGATGCCACTTCCCAGAAACATGGAAATCCTATGAACCCACTGGCCAAGAGCCAGCTGCCTTCAAAGTAGAGAAGAGGTAAAAACTAAAAGGCACAAAAAGGATGACTAGCCAGGTATGATGTCATATGCCTCTAATCCCAGCACTTGGGAGGCTGAGGCAGGAGGATCACCATGAGTTCTCAATCAGCCAGGGTTACAGTGAGTTCAAAGCCAGCCTAAACAACATAGTGAGACCCTGTCTCAAAATAAACACACACACACACACACACACACACACACACACACACAAAGTATGACTAACAGCTCAGCTGGCAATGCCTTGGTTGGTCTCCTCAATCCCCAGGTAGCAGATCAGCAGAATCTGTTCCTATGTACCTTGCAGACTACTAGACTAATGTCTAGGCCTTTCACCCTCTGCTGCAAGTTCAGCCCTCAGTCTCAGAAAAGAACTAGCTTCTAAGATTCTCAGCCCATCCACTGCACACAATAGCCATGTTTGAGATGAGCCACATTCACTATCACAGGATCTGAATATGACAAGAGCTAACTTATACCACCAAAATTATGCTGAGACCCACGCCTATAGGAGCACTAGTTAATTCCACATTCTTTTTTCTTTTCTTTT